GCTGACTCCTGCTCAGATCACCCGTCCATGAGGTGATGTCTCAGAGAGAAGGCTTTTAGGGCTAAGACAGAAGGCTCAGGACTAAAATACTTGGCTAGGAGGAGTTTGAATTCTGGGTTCAATCCTATACACTGACAAGAGGGGGAAAAAAAGGGAACAGCAGTACTAATTAACATTAATCAATCAGTATTAATTAATACTAATACTAAGAAAGCTTAGACAGAACAGTCTATGCTTCATGCAAAGGCCCTACTCATGGGCAGAGGTAAGGTGTGCTCTTGAATAGTGGCAGATCTCACTTAGCAGGACCTGTCGATATATAGTAGGGAAGAAAGAAGTCCTTAGAGGCTTGTAATATGAGGCTGTTGTGGCACAGGAGCCACGCAAGCTGAGGGAAGCTGTGGAAAAGGGAGGGCTTTCTTCTCCTGCATCTGCTAAGGCTTCCTTCTTGAATTCCAGACCCTTTTACCAGGTCAGGGAGTAGTGGCTGCACCTACACACCGAGAGTGGATTCTTTCCTCCTTGCCAACAGGCAATGTGGAGGCTGCAGGCTGGGGAAGCCCGTCAGGAGCCTTGGAAGCCAGGCAGCGTAGGCGCTGAGCTCCCTGGCCACAGACATGTCAGTGTCTCCCTGGAGAGCAGCACTGGCTCTTCTGCAGCAGCGCCTGCAGAGCCGCCCACTCACCATGCAAGTCCTGGAGTTCTCGCCAATGAAGGAGTCCCTCAGCACCTGCGTCAGCTTGCTCTCTCGGAATGGGGTGTGGGCCTTGTTCTGCCCCAGCGCCCTGATGCACTCCTGTGGGGCGGCAGAACAAACTGGAGTCTCTTTTCACTTCTTAGGTGGACTGCACTCTCCCTCCCCAGCTGCCTTCCGGCCCACCCCTAGCTTGGGTCCACTACCTTCAGAGCCAGGAGAGACTTGTTAATTTCCGCACCCTCCATGCGGGTCTGCCGGTCAGCGCTAGAAGTGTCGGCCCCTCGCTCATTCCCTGCCAGATCCACCAAGGAGAATTTGCCATGCAATCTCCCTTTAGCTCGAAGAAGAATCTGGAAGCAGGCATGGGAGCGGGAGGAATTGGAGTTGGCAAACGTTTGTCCCGAAGTCCTATTGAAAGGAAGGGAAAGGCAAAGAAAGGTTACAAACTTCTGGGACCACCCCCGGGCACCCCAGTGTTTGCAGCATCTCAGGGCACAGCAGTGAGAGCTATGGTAAAGGACGGACACAGCTCAGGAGCCTCAGCAGTCCTGGGTCTTCCTGTCTGTAACCTCTGTTTTACCTTCAGGACCGCAGCTCTTAACCTAGTAGTTTCCAGGCAGCCAAGGCAGTAACTGGGGTCTGTACTGGTGTGTTAGCTAGATCTGGGGCTCATAAAGACGAGGAGGGGCTGACTCTGCCACAGGGGTGGGAGAAAAATCTGAGCCCTCCAACTACCCAGCACCCCATGGCACCCTGTCAGCACTTTCTACATTTACACAGAGGTCTCGTTACTCCACGCCCAGAAAAGGTTCAGGGCTGCTAACTTCTTCACAAGGAAATACACATACCCCAGGCAAGAATGCTTGTTTTGAATAAAGTCGGCCTTTGTTAAGAGTTAAGCTGCTCTGAACTTACTCTTGAAGACCCTCTGGGATTATCTACCCACTGAGGTTCCTTAAGATGGAGGCCCTCATGGCTCTTACCCTGCTGTGGTGGTGAGAACTATGGGTTCCTCCTGTTCTTGTGCCTGTCTCTGCATCTGAGGCCTCATTACCTGAACTAAGTATTACAAGTGGCCCCTCCCCTCCCCAGAGCTCTGACCTGCAGGCGCTGCCCATGTTGATCATCTTGATGACGTCATCAGCGCAGTTCACCAGGTACTCCTGCAGGCCCACAACCTGCACCTGCTGCTTGCTGTCTTCTAGCACACGTAACTTGGCCTTTTTGTTGAGCAGATCAAACACCTGTGCCAGGCAGGGAACATAAACCTAGGGCCATAGGTGCTGGGCACCCTGCCTGACTCCTTCCTAGTCAGGGACCAGAAGCAGGAAAGGCCAGGTACGTACTGACAGGTAACAGCTCAGTGGTAAGTTGATCCCGTTTCCCTGGCTCACACCTGTGCCATTGCTTTACTAGCTGCACCAGCCTGAGCAAGCGACTGAACCACTCTAGCCTGTTCCCAGCCTATAAAGTCAAGACAAAAAGACTAGAATAGCAGCCAGGTGGTGGCAGAGAACGCCTTTAATCCCAGTACTCGGAGGCAGAGGCAAGAGAATTTCTTTGAAGAGGTTTGAGGCTAGCCTGGTCAACAGAGTGAGTTCCAGGATGGTCAGGGATACATAGAGAGACCCTGTCTCAAAAAGCAAAACCAAAACAAACAAAACACCTAGAACAGTTAGCACTTAGCACATAATATCCCATTAATGATATTAGGTATTTTTATTATTGAGGTCTTGCTCTACAAATGGTAATTCTAAAAATGTGCAGAAAATAGTGTGTGTGTGTGTGTGTGTGTGTGTGTGTGTGTGACAGAGAGAGAGAGAAGCACGGAGGGTATGAACAAGTGAATATACAGGATAGGAAGGGAGGACATGAAGAAGGGGGAGGTCAGTGGAGGGGAGCTCACATATGAGGCAGACCCCTACCTCAGAGAGAGCCTGCAAAAGGACGTCTGCTTCCTTATGGAGCTTGGCTGCTACCTCACCTTCAGAGGCAAGGGCCACATGCCAGGCGGAAAGGCCTACAGCTAACAGGATGCCTGGATTCAGTAGCTTCTAGCCATCTAAGGTTTTAGTCAGTTTACCTTCCCATTGTAGATCTCGAAGAATGTCACATAAACCTCCAGGTTTAAGTTCCGGTAGCGAGGCTGATTCTTGAGAAGGAAGACATCCCGGGCTGGAAGGAAGAGCCTGCCTCAGTAAGCAGCTTGCTTTCCATGCCCAATGGCTAAATGGTTTAGCCATTTAGTGTGGCTAAATGGTTTACTCACAAGCCATGGCGTAGATCCCTTTTGATGCGTTCTGACTTTTCCCAGACAAGTCTCCACCCATCGTCTGCAAAGGGAAACAGCATATGACATGGCACCAGAGCACAAGTGGCTTCCGCTGCCACAGTGGGTCGCACTAGAGCCAGAAGACTGGGCCTGCTAAAGCCCCTCTCTGCGTCTGGCATGGCAAACGCCTAGTGATGGGCATCTGTACCACATGAACTGTCTTCCTTCCCAAGGACTTACTGCTGCACTATAGAAGATTCTCTGCCAGACTGAAATACTCACGTGTGTCTTCCCACTGCCTGTCTGTCCATAGGCAAAGCACGTTGCCTTTCCCCCTTCAAAAATCGTCTGTACCAGTGGCCTTGCTGTGAACCTACGAGAAAAAAATAGAGTAGAAGGAAGCATATTTTTGCAGCTATCCCTCAGTACCTAAGAGGGATTGATTATGGGAACCCCACTGATACTCAGCACATAGCTGACGTTCAAATCACTTTTTTTTTTTCTGTTGGAACCCAGGGCCTAGCACTTGCTGGGCAAACAATTTACCACTGAGTTGACCCTCAGTCAAGTCCTTTATATAAAATGGCATAATGCTTGTGTATTATTTACATCTACTGTTACATATCTCTAGATTATTTCTATCCTAATAAAATGTTAACACAATATAGTTCTTACACTGTATCGTTTAGAAAAAAATGAAAGGAACAAAAATCTGAATATGTTCAGTACAGACAAATAGTTCTTTCAGGATTTTGTCTTTACTTTTAAATTACATGTATTTATTTGTATGTGTTTAGGCTATGGCACATGTAGAGGTCAAAGGACAATTTGTGGGAGTCAGTTTTCTTTTCCTACCTACGCCTATTCTGGGGATCCAACTCAGGTCATCAGGTGCATCAGCTCAGCGGTCACTTTTTTGGAAATATTTTCCCTCTGTGGTCGAGTCCACAGCAACTCAAGAACATGGGGAAAAACTGTATCTCTTCCCAAAATGTGCTCCCTACAACATGCTCCTAGGCAAAGCTTCAAGTCTTTGTTTGGTTTTGTGAGACAAAAAAACTTGTGTGTGGCTGTCCCGGAACTCTATAGACCAGGCTAGCCTCGAATGAATTCAGAGATCCGCCTGCCTCTCCCTCCTGAGTGTGGGCGTGCAAACATGTGCCACCACTGCCTTGAGAGGTATTCCTCTAAGGTCTACCCTGATCCATCCCACTAACCAAGCTGAACAACTAGTTAAATGGAAGGGTGTCTAGCTGGCCGGCCAGGAACAAAGCTGGTGACCCAAACTTTAAGACCCCTGACCTCCCTGATAGGATGTATTACAAAGGGCAGAGGAAACCAAGACCAAAAATATTTCGTTTGTGAGCTACACAGAGGTCTGTCATAGTTCAGACCTCACACTATAGCCTAGGCCAGCCTTAAATTCAAAAACCTTCCTTTCTCAGCTTTTTAAGTGCTGGGATTAAAGGCATAAGCCACTAAACTGGAATTCTATGAAGCACTGGCTGGTCTTAAATTCAAGACCTTTCTACCTCAGTTTCCCCAACACCAGAAGCATAAGAATGTACCACCAAACCTCTTTAAAAAGAAAATGCAGGGCTGGAGAGATGGCTCAGAGGTTAAGAGCACTGGCTGCTCTCCCAAAGGTCCTGAGTTCAAGTTCCAGCAACCACATGGTGGCTCACAACCATCTACAATGAGATCTGGTACCTCCTTCTGGCATGTAGGTGCATGCAGACAGAACATTGCATACACAGAAAATAAATAAATCTTAAAAAAAAAAAAAAAGAAAAGAAAAGAAAGAAAATGCATGACAAACCCAAATCCTTTAAGGCTTGGGAGATGGCTTAGTGATGAAAGTGTTTTCTGCACAAGTTTCCACTCCTGGTGGAAGGAGAGAACTGACTTCAAGTTGTCCTCATTTCCACACATACACCAATGGCACACCTGTGCCCACACATCTCTGTGTGTCACACAGACCACCAGGAGACCCCCTTCCCCAAAAAACTTTTATTGAGAATTAAATGTTGAGTGCTCGCTTCAGCAGCACATATGCTAAAATTGGAAAGATACAAAGGAGATTAGCATGGTCCCTGTGCAAGGATGACTCACAAATTTGTGAAGCATTACATATTTAAAAAAAAAAAAAGAAAAGAAAAACCTCCACTAATAATTAAATGCTGTGCTGGAGAGGCTAAGCTCACAACCAAAACTCTAAGATTAAATGCTGAGTGGCATGAGGACAGGGTGACGTCAAGTTCCCAGATCCGTTAAGCTTGGTCGGGTAATGAGTCAGGTGTGCAAGGCAGTGACGGTGTGACTCAGCACTTGGGAGGCAGAGGCAGCACTGTCATGGCTCAAGACCATCTGAGCAACACAGATAGGTCTAGGCTAGCCTGGGCTACAGAATGAGATATTGTCCCACCAAAAACAACACTGTGGGAACGGCTGACCCCTACTCATCAGCCCCAGTGCAGTGGGCAATATTTCAGTCATGAGTCACCCAAGGCTGGGCTGCAGCAGCTTAAAAGGGGACATGGCAGGCCCCAAACTGGACCTTCTGGTTACAGGGGCCAGAGCTCTTCATCAGAGAGGGAGGAGTCTGTGTCTGACATCAGAAAGACAGAGGCCAGGGGGAGAAGAGGGTTCAAGGAAGAAAACGGTATCAAGGGGACCAACCTATAGACCACTTCGTTGGAAGCTGTTTCATCGAAGGCAAAGTCAAAGCAGAAGGCCTGGTTCTCCAGGTACTTGGTTAGGTCCACCTTTAACTTGGGTTCATGCACGAGGACGAGACACTTGCTGGGAACAGAAATCACATCGATTTCTTTCTTGGCCAGCTCTGCAGAAGGAGAGTATTTCAGGGGACGCTCCTGAAGCCCCTGAACAGGGGGCTTCCTCTCAGTCGGCCTGATGCTTCTGACTGCATATCTTACCTTGTTTATTCAGTGGGCGCTTCCTAACACAGACACAGATCCTGTGCTCTTCAATCTGCAAGGGGATGAGGGACAGCCAGAGGAAGGTCAGAACAGTACAGAGAAAAGATTACCCACACCCCTCTCTTGGCCCTAGTATGGGACAGAGAGCCCTGATACAAGACCCCAGCTTTGTTATCCACTCTAGGGTACAAGAAAGCTGTTCGGAATTCCCCCCTTGGTTCTCTTATTCTGCTACCTTCAAGGTTTCAGCACTATGAGCCTAGCCCTGAGCAGTCTGGACAGAATAAAGCAGGAGGCTCCACCCTAGGCCCCACTAAAGTGTTTAGAAACAAAAAAACCTAGCTGATGAGCTGGTCCAGTGGGCAAAGGCTCTTCTGTCAAGCCTGATGATCTGAGTTCCATCCCTGGAAACCACAAGATAGCAGCCCCAACTCCAGCAAGATGTCCTTTGACCTTTTCATGTGTGCCATGTTGTGTGCCCATGTATACGCGCATGCACACAAGAGCAAACACATGTACACACACAAAGAACTTGTTTTGTTTTTTATTTTTTAAGGCCAGGCCTAATAGCATATACCTGTAACACCAGCATACACTAAGACTCTGTCTTCAGAGTAGAAAGAAGCAAAGCAGAGCAAAACAAAACAAAAACCAGCCAGTGAGATGGCTCAGCAGGTAAAGACATGCACTACACCAAACATGATTAGCCGAATTCAATCCCTAGGGCCCAACGTGGCAGAGAGAAGCGACTCCTACAAGCTGGCCTCTGTCTTCCAGCTAGGAATGTGTGTACCCCATGGCATGAGTGAGCATAATGTAAGGACATTTTTAAATGGGAGCAGTGGCATGTGGCACGTCCTTGGGAGGCAGAGGCAGGCCTATTTGTGTGAGTTTAAGGACAGCTGAGTCTACATAGTAAGTTCCAGGCCAGGCAGATCTACATAGTGAGATGCTTTGGGTTTTTTAATATATATGCCTGTATGTCTGTGTAATGCATGGGAGCAGTGCCCACGGAAGCCAAGGAGAGTTCAGCTGGCTGAGACACCACATGGGTGCTGGGAACCAAAACCAGGTTCTTTGGGAGAACGAGTACTCTTATCTGCTGAGCCATCTCTCTAGCCTTGAGCCACTGACCAAAAAAAAAAAAAGTGTTGGCAGAGGTGGGGGTAGGGACCATGACTATGTGCTCAAATATATGTAGTACCGGATTCAATCCCCAGAAACACAACCACACACACCACTGTCTGTACCTGCTTTCTGGTATACTCACAGGGTCAGTCACAGTAAGCGGGTGACATTCCATAGTAACCCGAAATTCTTTAATCATCCGGGCAAATTCCCAGTTTGGAAAAGTGCTGTCATATTCCTGTTTGAGGCAGGAGGAACAAGGGCAGACTGTTAAGGTGTGAGTGCTCTTAGACCCGGAGCAAGCAGGCAGCAGCGGTTTCTCAGCTAATGAGTGCCTCACTGTAGCTCTAGCTGAGAAGCCGGGCACAAAGTCCTATGGGGGAAGGAGAGGCAAGACTGCTGGGGAGCGTGGGCATGCACCAGGGACAACAGCACTTTGCATGTCTTAGGAGGCAAAGCGGCAGAATGGGTCTCCTCAGAGCGGCTACACAACTGCCAAGGTTTCCACCCTGTGACACAGGGGACAGACGGGAAAGCATCTCATAAGCACAAGATGGGCTTCCCCACTGGCCAATCAGCATCAACTATGGCTCATCTGGACATCTCCAGATAATTTTTCAATTATGCATTTATTTTCTGGATTCTGATAAGAAGCAATTAAACTTCCTGGATATGAGAACTGGAGCCTTAGACACGCTAGGGTCAGTATGTGTTGGTTGCTTGTCTGTCAGGGGCGCCTGTCCTGAAACTCTCACCCACGTCTCCCAAAGAAGCACCTGAGCTCGCTTTATTCTTATTTCTGAGTTCTGGGCCCTCTTCTCTTCCCGCTTGTTCTTCATTTTCTCCATTTCCTTCACGATACATGATTTCCTCCGAACTAAGAGGGAAAAGAAGTTACTCTTTCACTCATGGTTCAGTTTAAGTCTCTGGCCATTTCACTGAGTACTGGACCTTTCATAAAAACAGATAATCCTTCTCTATACCCTATCTGCTTTTGCTTATTTTGTGTTTGTTTGTTTTTTTCAGGATAAAGTTTCTCTGTACAGCCCTGGCAACCTTGGAACTCACTCTGCAGATAGATCAGGTTGGCCTCAAACTTAGAGATTCGATCTCCTAGTACTGGGACCAAGGGTGTGAGCCACCACGTTTGGCCTATTTGTTTATAAATTAGTGTGTTTGCATGCTCATGCCACACCACACGCGTGGAAGGCAGTTGTCACCTTCTACCATGTGGGATCCTGACACAGAAATCAGGTCATCAGGCTTAGTGGCAAGCATCTTTCATTGCTCAGCCACTTCACCAACACTCCGCACCCGCTTTTCCAGAATGTTTTTTGTCTATAAGCTAGTACACACAAGAAGCAACAGACTCGACTCTTGGATGGCCGAGTCCATGAAGCACTGACCGAGCTAATAATGTTAAAGACACGGTGATAATCACCCCACTTTGGTTTTGGCCTAAGCTCTCTTTATCCTTATGCAGCTATTTTCTCTGGAATCAAAATGAGGCGAGGCTGGAGAGATGGCTCCGTGGTTAAGAGCACTTGCTCTAGCAGAAGGCTTGATTCCCAGAACCCACATGGTGCTCACAGCCAGTTCTAGGAGATCCAGTACCCTCTTTTGACCTCCACTGGCACCAGATATACACAGACACCCATACCAGTAAAACACTCATATACTCAAAAACAAAAAACAAAACAAAAACAAAATCTTTTTGTTTTGTTGTTTTTCGAGACATTTCTTCTTGCCTGTCCTGGAACTCGATCTGTAGACCAGGCTGGCCTTGAACCTCACAGACATCCAACTAACTGCCTCTGCCTCCCGAGTGCTGGGATTAAAGGAGTTTGCCATTACACCAGGCTAAGAGCAATAAATCTTAAAAAGGAAAAAAGAAAAAAAAAAAAAAAAGGGCAAGACATTCTCACTATATTTTCACAAGTACTCTGGGCTGTTTATCAAGAGCTTAGCTGTGAATACACCTCACTTATATCAAATGGCTTCTGCCAAACTTTTGTGTCTTGTGGAAGACTCAGTTCATAACTAGAAGATAACATACCTTCAAAGTAATGGAATGGCTTGAACTCAAGCACCGGGCAGGCCCAGGGTAATCACCTGTCCTGTGCTAGAGCAGAGGAGCGCACAGCTCAGCATGTCTACCTGAATTCCCAGGGTTTGCAGAAGAGGTGCTTCGGGTGGGATGGACCTGCTCTTCTGCCTCCTCGCTGACCATCGACAACGGTAAATCTGTCACTGCAGAGCAGGAGGGCCTAGGGTGACCAGCTGTGGAAGAGCAAGAGAAGCAGGTATCAAGGGCAGCAGCTCATGGAAGGAACGTGGCCTTTTCCTCTTGCCCTCATCTCAAATTCAACCACCCTTCAGCCAGGGATTGCACCTGGGGCAAAAAAAATCTTAAACTAGCTGGGCATGGTAACACATGCCTTAGATTTAGCACTCGGAAGGCAGAGGCAGGAGGATCTCTGTTTGAAGTTTGAAACCAGCCTGGTCTACAAAGAGAGTTCCAGGACAGACAGGACTGGTACACAGAAAAACAAAAAACAAAACAAAATATTAAGCTGTCTCAAAAAACAAAAGACAAAACAAAATATTAAGCTGAGCATGTCTGCTCCCACCTGTAATCCCAGCACTTGGGAGGCTAAGAGAGAATTATTCTACAAGTTCAAGGCCAGCCTTGAGTACATGGTGAGTTCCAGACTGTCACAGAGTACAGAGGCAGAGAGATCCTGTGTGGAAACAACAAACAACTGTTTGGAGACATGGTATCACATCACCTAGGTTGGCCTCAAGCTCACCATGACTGAACTGAGGTTGACCTTGAACCTCTACTCATCCTGTGTGGTGAGTGCTAGACTTGCAGGCAGGATCCACTACGTCGTTTCAGATGGTGCTAGGGACGGAACCCAGGGTTGTGTGTATGCTGGGCAAGCATTCTAACAACTGAGCTACAACCCCAACCCAATAATAATTTTAAGCAAAGTGTTTTTTCAACTAGGTGTGTAAAGTAGATGAAGATTCTGTGGGGCAGTGAATCATTACACTTTAGTATTAAATTC